ACAAACATATTGTATTATGTGTATTTTTATTTGATAAATGTTCACCTATATCAAAATGTTTTTTTGTGATAAACAATACATTGTAATTTTATCATTTAATTAATAAAACATCTATAAAAGTAGTTTTGTTTACAAAATGTCTCTCAAACAATGTAGTTTGAGATCTGAATAACAATCAAATGTTTTGATTGGTCATTTAGTATATCTACTTGATATTGATCCATTATCAAGACAACCACATGCCCTATGTAAAGCTCCAGGTCATATAAAACAGTGATAATCATTTACATTTTTGTGATCATGGTTTCTTCTGTCTTATCCATCTTTAAATGACTGAGTCCATTTTCAAGATTCAACTTCTCAGGAGTTCTACAATCAAAAACAGAAGTAAGCAAAAACAGAAGTAAGCAATCTACTAGAAATACACCATTGAAACACTTTATTACAGGGGAAATGCCCCCCCCCCCATCCCTCCAGAATGATACTCACACTGTGTCCTCCTGTGGTTCAGTGTGGTCTTGTAGCTCAGTGTTGAGTGTCTCAGGCAGCAGAAAGCAGAGGCCTCCCCCCAGGAAGGGCAGGATACCATAGATCAACATAGGGATGGCATAGTGGTACATCTCCAGAAGTCTAATCAGTGGGGCAAGGATGCCAGCCACACGGGCAGACATGGAGTTCAGACCCACTCCGTTCTGTCTGCAGGAGAACACACAGATCAAGGAAGTTTAGCTTCCAACTATTGCATACTGCCAAACACAATGCACCCAGACTCTAAACCAGTCTGTTATCCCAGACTATAAACCAGTCTATTATCCCAGACTATAAACCAGTCTATTATCCCAGACTATAAACCAGTCTGTTATCCCAGACTATAAACCAGTCTATTATCCCAAACTATAAACCAGTCTATTATCCCAGACTATAAACCAGTCTATTATCCCAGACTATAAACCAGTCTATTATCCCAGACTATAAACCAGTCTATTATCCCAGACTATAAACCAGTCTATTATCCCAGACTATAAACCAGTCTATTATCCCAGACTATAAACCAGTCTATTACCCCAGACTATAACCAGTCTATTATCCCAGACTATAAACCAGTCTATTATCCCAGACTATAAACCAGTCTATTTTCCCAGACTATAAACCAGTCTGTTATCCCAGACTATAAACCAGTCTAATATCCCAGACTATAAACCAGTCTGTTATTCCAGACTATAAACCAGTCTATTATCCCAGACTATAAACCAGTCTATTATCCCAGACTATAAACCAGTCTATTATCCCAGACTATAAACCAGTCTATTATCCCAGACTATTAACCAGTCTATTATCCCAGACTATAAACCAGTCTATTATCCCAGACTATAAACCAGTCTATTATCCCAGACTATAAACCAGTCTATTATCCCAGACTATTAACCAGTATATTATCCCAGACTATAAACCAGTCTATTATCCCAGACTATAAACCAGTCTGTTATCCCAGACTATAAACCAGTCTATTATCCCAGACTATAAACCAGTCTATTATCCCAGACTATAAACCAGTCTATTATCCCAGACTATAAACCAGTCTATTATCCCAGACTATAAACCAGTCTATTATCCCAGACTATAAACCAGTCTATTATCCCAGACTATAAACCAGTCTATTATCCCAGACTATAAACCAGTCTATTATCCCAGACTATAAACCAGTCTATTATCCCAGACTATAAACCAGTCTATTATCCCAGACTATAAAACCAGTCTATTATCCCAGACTATAAACCAGTCTATTATCCCAGACTATAAACCAGTCTATTATCCCAGACTATAAACCAGTCTATTATCCCAGACTATAAACCAGTTTATTATCCCAGACTATAAACCAGTCTATTATCCCAGACTATAAACCAGTCTATTATCCCAGACTATAAACCAGTCTATTATCCCAGACTATAAACCAGTCTATTACCCAGACTAAAACCAGTCTATTATCCCAGACTATAAACCAGTCTATTATCCCAGACTATAAACCAGTCTATTATCCCAGACTATAAACCAGTCTGTTATCCCAGACTATAAACCAGTCTATTATCCCAGACTATTAACCAGTCTGTTATCCCAGACTATAAACCAGTCTATTATCCCAGACTATAAACCAGTCTATTATCCCAGACTATAACCAGTCTATTATCCCAGACTATAAACCAGTCTATTATCCCAGACTATAAACCAGTCTATTATCCCAGACTATAAACCAGTCTATTTCCCAGACTATAAACCAGTCTATTATCCCAGAAAAACCCTTTTTCCCTTTCAAAATTTTCCCCCCCAAACCCTTTTTCCCAAAAAACCATTTTTCCCCCCAAAAACCAATTTCCCAAATAAAAATCCCTTTTCCCGACATAAACCTTTACCCCGACTATAACCTTATTTAAAAAAAATTTATCCCAGCTATAAACCATTTTATCCCATTAAAAAAAATTTTATTTTCCCCCAAAAACCATTTCCCCAACCTTTTAAAAAACCCCATCCCCAAAAAAAATTTTAAATTAAAACCCCTTTAATTAAAATTTCCCAATAAAACCAGCTATTTCCCCCGTTAAAATTTCCCACTATAAAACCCCTTTATCCCAACATAACCATTTTTATCCAGACTATAAAAAGTCTATTTCCCAACCCATAAAACCAGTTATTCCCCAAAAAAACCAGTCCCTTTTCCCACTATAAACCAGTCTTTTTTCCCCACTAAAAAAAATTTTCCCACTATAAACCCTTTTTATCCAATTTAAAAACCCGTTTTATCCCGACATAACCATTACCCAACTGAACCTCTATTCCCAGACTTAAACCGTTTTATCCCGACTTAAACCTTTTACCCGGGGTTAAAAAAAAAACAAAAAACCCCGCTAAAACCCCCCTTTTTAAAAAACCAGTCTTTATCCCGACTATAACCGTTATTATCCCAACAAAAACCTCTAATTTTGGGGGGGGGGGGGTATAAACCCAATTTTTCCCGACTTTAAAAAAACCCCATTTCCCAGACTAAAAAATTATCCCGCTATAAACGTCTATTTTTCCCGCTTAAACCCCCTCTTTATCCCAGACATAAAACCCTTTTATCCCAGACTAAAACCTTACCCGCATAAAACCCCTTTTCCCAATTACCCGGACCCAAAAACCCGGGCATTTCCCAACTATAAACCCTTTTCCCCCCTTAAACTTAACCCGGGAAAAAACCCCCCCCCTTTTTTAAAAAAATCCCCCCTATTATAAAATTTAAAAAAATTTTTCCAAATTAAACCAGCAAAACCCCCCTATCCGTTATTTCCCCGACTAAAACCACCCCCCCGATTTAACCCCCCCAGACTAAAAAAACATTTCCCCCTTTTTTTTTATCCCCCAAAACCTTAACCAAAAAACCAGTTTTTAAAAACCCCTTTTCCAAATAAAAAAACATTTCCCCTTAAAATTAAAACCCAGATATAAACCTCTATTTTCCCAGGGAAAAACCATTTTAAACCCAAATAAAAAAAATCTTTTCCCCATTCCCCCCCCCATTTTCCCAGTTTTAAAAAATCCCCCCGAAAAACCCTCTTTATCCCAGCCAAAAGTATTTCCCCAATTTCCAAATTTTTTCCCAAAAAAACCAGCTATTTCCCTTAAAAAAACCCCCAACCGCTATAAAACCCCCATTAAACCCCCAACCCAGAAAAAAAATTAAAACCCTTCCTATATCCCAACAAAAAAAAATTTTTATATAAACCAGCCCCAGGGCAAAACCCAAAATTTTTTTTCCCCGTTTAAAACCCCGTCTAATTTTTTCCCCGAAAACCCTTTTTCCCCAAACCCCCTTTCCCAATCCATTTTTTCCCCCCATATAAAAACCTTTTTAAACCCAGATTATGAAAAAAATCTATTATCCCGACTAAAACCGTCTATTTCCCAACCTTAAACCCTTTTTTTCCCCCAAAAAAACCAAATTTTTTACCAAATTAAAAAATTTTTCCCCCCCCTTAAACCCCCCTATAAACCCTTTTATAACAAACCTTAACCAAAAAACCCCCCCCAATTAAAACCCAACCAAAAACCCCTTTATCCCCCGACTAAAACCATTTCCCAAAAAAACACCTTTAAATTTTTATCCCAAAAAACCATTTTTAACCCGCTAAACCTTATAACCCAAAAATTTTAAAAATTTTTCCCCGACAAAACCAATCCAAAAAAAAGCTAAAGATTA